CACACACACACACGCACACACGCACACACACACACACACACACACACACACACACACACGAAGGAGAGAGTGGGAGGGAGAGAGGAAGAAAGACAGCCTCATCATCGCTGACAAATGTAGCAGAGTATTTTAGAAGTGGCGGTTCAGCTGGCTACAAGCCGTCTTTGCAGTCCTTATTGCAGTGAGAAGGGATGATAGAAGAACCATTGCATGCATGCACATCCTGGACCCCTGGAGTGTGTAGTCAGCGCTTTGGCGGCATCGCCAACCACTGCAGCAGAGATTTCCCACATAAAGTAGGTCCAAATGATCATAAGTTGGGATTGCTTTCCTCCTTGGGAAGGGATGGCAGCAGAGCTCTGCAATACCTGCACATCCTGAAGTGTGGAGCCGTATCTTCTCACTAATGGTCACAGTCCAGGCCTGGCCAATGGGATGAAATCCTCTTACAGTCTGGCTAGCCAACATCAGCAGTCCTTTGCCTAAGCGATGAGCTATATCTGCCTCTGGGTATTAGAATGCAGAAAGTCAAGCGAAACATGGCCACCGAAAGGGGGCAAACTTGCCCAGTAGTTCCCTTCCCAGATTGCAGAGCATCCCCACAAACAGCTTTGTTTACTAAACCAGGGGCATTCACAACCTGCACCTCACCCCTTCCAGACTCAGATGGCCTTGCAGTACCAGCTCGCATCATGCATTATCCACCATAGGTGACCACCATAGCTCTGCAGCTCACTGATTTCTCCAGAACTTGCCGTGCGCATGAAAGTTCGACGTAAACTCTAGGAGGCAGAAAGAGAATCATTCGCAGACACCCATCTCCTTGCAGTTGTACAGTGACGGCCAGTTTCAGCTGCAGTCTGTTCCTTGTTAAAGCACCAGTACACCACACATAGGCCCGCTGGTGTCAGCATGAAACCTGCCACTTCGGAGGCTGCCGATTTTTATTTTCAACGGCGCCCCTGGCTGTCCGGCGCCTCCAAGTTTAGCTTGTGGCAACAAAAACGTTCTGCAAGGCTGGGGTCGTGTAAGAGCGGTTTAAGTCAGTCAACATGAGAGTAGCTGAGAGCGCCAGGCACAGAGGTCTATACGAGACTTCCCACAGCTTGCACCAGCCACTGAATTGATTCCTGACAACCCCCTGCTCAGGACCACATGGTGTCCAGCACTTCCACCTACTACTCCCACAATCAACAGCATGGCTCGCACCAATCCATCCTTTAAAAAGAGCCAATCTTCCACCCCCTCCCCATTCCGCCGTGCGGGGAAGCCAGGTATCAAATTACCCCTACCCTCCTCTTCTCCCAGCACCTGACCAAAAGGGCTCATTCATCTCCAGCATAGGTAAGAAACCGACCGTAGCTGACAAGACGAGTGAGAAATATTCGACCAGACTGAAAGACGCAATTGCCACCGATAGCACTAGTTGACCCCATGAACACACAGACGGACGACTCCAGAAAGACCGACCGGCAGATCTCTAAAGCACTCTGCTTGCACAATGAATGGTGTGTACAGGCTTTGGGGAGGAGTGTTATCAATGGGGCCAGAGTTCTCGTGGCCAGCCTGCTCACGAGGTGAGCTTTTGGTCGGCGCAGTTCTGCGCACAGATCCTTCCATGAAAGGGCAAATGACTTCTCTGAGTGCAGCGTCATGCTCAGTACAGCCCATATCTGCGATGATCGGAACAGGGAACACTCAGCTGCACAGACAAGAGTGTACAAAAACACGGAAAGAGGAGAGAAATCAGATCTCTTTTTCTTGGGTGGGTAGGTGGGTGGGTGGGTGGGTGGGTGAGGAGGGGGCAGGGAGAGGGAACGGGAGGAGGGCATAGATGGAGGTGAGATAACTTACCCATTCTCACGAAGCCTTTCAACTTACTCATTCTCACGAAACTTTTCACGGCATGAAACCTGCAAACTGTTATGAACTTGGTTGTCTGACACTTTAATTGTCACTCTCACTCAGAAGAACTCACACACGCCCATACATGCATGAGACAACGGGGAGAAGGAGACAGGGTCCAACTGCACACAGATCAGAGATAAGCAGCGGAATAGCAATTATGCACAGAAGGGGAGAATACACTCAGTGTTTCTCTCTCCCTGACACACTCCCAACAACCAATCACAATTGACACTGCGAGGATCACAATTGGAAAGTAACCCAGACGAAGAGCCAACTCAACACAGTTAACCTCAATTATCGTTACAGAGTTCCACCCAGTGTCTCGCCACTCAGGAACCACACACTCCACTCACTACCACACTCTCAGAGTCTAGTGCTGCACAGAAATAGCCTCCCAGAGGCCAGCGCCATACACCCGGATGCAGATCAGGAATAGCGAAGTAGCCTCCAGTGCCAATGAGTCACTCTGACGATGAAGAAGACAGCTATGGCTGCCTGGCTGCTACCGCAGCAGCACTACCCACATGTACTCTGTGAAGACCTCCCAGATAGTCCTGCCAACGCAGATATCCCCCAGGGGATAGATGCGCTGAGTACAGCCCCAGCTATGGCTGTCTCAAGTGGCGGGCAATGGCTGCTCCACTCACGGCTGATGTCTCCGGTGCCACTGCAGACATTCAGCGCTGCTCAACTTCGTTGGCCACCAACGCTGCCTGCGAAAAATGAAAGCCAAAAGTCCYCCTATCAGTTTCCTTCCTAGACTTATAGATTCCTACACTAGCCTAGACCGAAACTGGACTGACTGGACCTACCGGTACCGTTGCTGTTTCTCGGCCTCCCGGCCTCTACCGGACCCAGCTATAGGCTATAGGACCGTATACCAGTATAGGCCGCGTAGGGCCGGTCTGTCCTAGGGTAGCCCGGGCCTGCTATAGGCAGTTAGGGTAGTAGTAGGGATTCGATTAGTTTAGGGCCTGTAGTCCCTCAGAATTACAGGTCTCTCCCTCGCGAATTTCCCAACAGGCAAGTCACTCGGTTAGTCCCCAGCCAAACAAAATTGTGAATCTAACCCTTCGGTTAGTGTACAGCCTCGCAGACAAACTCGGCAGCAAAAATCAGCAAGTCATTGCAGGTTTACCCTCCCCGGGAGCGAGGACCTCCGAGCTAGGGGTGCAGATGAGGTGAGCGGCGAAGGTCACCCTTCTGAGCCGCCTCATACCGCAGAACTACAGACTTCGCTGTCTTGATCAGGTCTCTTTTGTAGAACCATCGGTTCTCAGAAGGAGGCTGGAACGCAAACCTGACAAGATACTGCCGGTCGGGGCCAGTGCCCCACTCATCCTCAATGGCCACCACATCATATCCCTTACCAGGGATTGGTGGGCCCCATTGAGGGGGCCGGTCAGGGAATGCATCAGCTGGCATAAAAGGCAGCAGCTTAGATGCATGGAAGACCGGATAGGTTCGTAGATGCAGGGGCACGTCAATGACATACGATGGGCCGAAAGGATCAGCTCCCACTGTATCTAAAACCTGCCACGGACCCAGGTAGCGTGGCAACAGCTTGGGAGAAATATCCTCCTCCCTCGACAACTCAGAACTGGCCACCCAGACATAGTCACCAGTGCGGATAGGGGAAGGCCGCCTGTGGCGGTTGGCTTGTTCAATCATGGCCTTTTGGGCCTTGAACAAGTTCGCCCGGGCTCTTTCCACATCCAGACGATAACGTCTGGCGAACTCTGCAGTGCCTGGGGTAAGGTCAGGCTTAGCCTTATCGATGATATCATCGAGAGGCTGTCGTGGTTCTCGTCCCCAATGTAATTGGTAGGGACTGAACCCTGTCGAGGAGTGGACAGACATGTTATTCATGAGCTGTGCCCTCGCCAAGTGGAGATCCCAGTCCTGCTGATCAGGAGAGATCACAGGACGTAGCAACTGGAACAGGACCTGGTTCATCACCTCAGCCAATCCATCGGCTTCAGGATGACGACCAGAAGTCATGTCCAGGCGTGAGTGCAGATAGTCCTTGCAATAGGACTGCCACTCATCGCTGCAGAATCTGGGGTCTCGATCACTCACAATAGAAGTGGGCGGTCCATGGTACATGACCCACCTCTCAGAAAAGGCTGCTCTCACAGCCGGTACCCTGGCTACCTCTGGCAAGGGGATGAACCCTGCGTATTTGTAAAACCTGTCCACGCAGACCATTACCTGACGCATGCCACGAGGGGTAGTATTGCCTAAGTCTGTAAAGTCAATGGATACAGACTGGGCAGGACCATCAGGTATGGGTAGAGGTTTGAGCAATCCCAAAGGAGGTTTCCGCTGAACCTTGTTCCTTTGGCAGAGCTCACAGGTATCCACATAGCGCAGCATATCACTCCGCATCTCCTTCCAGAAGAAGCGCTGTGACAGGGCTGCATATGACTTTAGGAACCCAAAGTGTCCACGCGCGTCGTGGCACTCTGACATCAGCAGTGTCCTCAGCTGTTGATCCTCAGGGATGCACAAGCGCTCCTCTCCTCTGATGTAAGTGTACAGCAGATCTGAACTCATGGCATAGCCAAGTTCAGAATTAGGATCTGCTTGCAGATTCCTGACGATGGGTCCATAAGTCGGATCCTGAGGCAGCAAACGAGCGATGGTCTGACGGACCTCCTCTCCAAAGGAGTGAGTAGAGGAGATCAACACAAAAGAGTCAAGCCTACGAGAGAGGGTGTCTGCTACCTTGTTGTAGCAGCCCTTCTTATGCTTCAGTTCAAAGTCAAACAGATCAATGAACTGAATGTAGCGTGCCAGTTTATCATTCAGCTCTCCCTGGGACTTCAACCATTGCAGGGTGGAATGATCAAAAAAGATCTTGAAGTGCCTGCCCAGGAGAAAGTGCTTCCAATGTTTCAGGGCACTGACAAGAGCATTGAGCTTTTTCTCGTAGGTAGAGTCCTGAAGCTTCTGAGTTTTGATCTTCTTACTCAGAAACTCTACAGGTCTCAGACCATTACCATCATCCTGCTGAAGGACTGCCCCAATGCCATACTGACTGGCGTCAGTGGTGAGAACAAATGGCAGAGTGGGGTCAGGCAACTTCAGAACAGGCGCACGAGTCAAGGCCTGTTTGAGTCGTGCAAAGGCCATTTGACAGTGGAGGGACCAAAGAAAGGGAGTGTCTTTCTTGGTGAGGTTAGTCAGGGGTGCAGCCACTGCGGAAAAGTTCCTGACGAACTTTCTGTAGCAGGAGGCCAGACCCAAGAATGACCGGACATCTCTCACTGTCTGGGGCTGTGGCCAATCCTGAATAGCAGCAACTTTGGCTGCTTCAGGGGCCAAACCATCTCCAGAAATCACATGACCCAGATAGATAACAGAGGGAACTCCAAAAGAGGACTTCTCCCTGTTGATCTTATACTGGCTGTCACGTAATGCCTGCAGAATCAGAGTCAAGTGCTCCGCATGTTCCCTGGCAGTCCTGCTGAATACCAGCATATCATCCAGGTAAACAACCATGAACTTGTCCAGGTACGGCCTGAAGATGCGGTGCATCTCAGTCTGGAATGTACCAGGTGCATTGCAGAGTCCAAATGGCATCACCAGGTACTCATAAGTACCATACCTGGTTTTGAAGGCCATCTTGTGGACGTCCTCCTCTGCCATCTCAATCTGGTGATACCCAGACTTGAGGTCGACTTTGCTAAAAATGGTGCAACCCTGGACCATATCCAGCAGGTCATCGATCCTAGGGAGTGGCTCTGTGCTCTTCCTAGTTGATCTTGTTGAGACCCCTGTAGTCGATGCACATTTTGAATTCCCCGCTCCCTTTTGGGACAAAGAGGACTGGAGCACCGAATTCAGAAGTGCTGGGCCTGATCCAGCCTTTGCTAGTCAGGGTCTCAAGCTGTCGCCTGAGCTCCTCAAGCTCAGTAGGTGACATCCTGTAGATGCGGCCCTTGGGAGGACCGCTCCAGGCATCAGCTCAGTATGATGCTTGGTTGGCCGGTTGGGTAACCCAAAGGGCTCCTGCATCAGATCAGTGTACTGGTCTACAACCTGCTGTATCTCAGGAGGACAGGGAGTAGAGGGAGCGTCTGTCTGCTTGACCAGAGCGATGAACAAACGCTCATGATCATACTGGCGAGAGAGAGCATAAAACTCTCTCGCTCTCAAGCAGAAGCAAGAGGTCTGAGGGTGGTAATCAGCTGCAAGCATACAAGGCTGATATACCCCCTTGTTGTTTGGCAGTTCGACCTTGGGGATCTGCCAGTCGATCCTTGGGTTGACTGCTCTCATCCACTGCATAGAGAACATAAGGTCAAAGGGTAGGTCAGGGAAGATGTAGAAGTTCAGACTATGTCTGACTTCTTCAGCACTGTCGAAGGTAACAGGGATACAAAGGGTAGGTCAGGGAAGATGTAGAAGTTCAGACTATGTCTGACTTCTTCAGCACTGTCGAAGGTAACAGGGATACCCCTGACCTTCTCCCTGATGGCCAGAACAGTGGAGTCCCCTATGCGGACCTGCAGCGGTTGCTGCAGCTGCACCACTTTCATGCCCAGATGCAGTTTTTGGACTGCACTGGGAGACATGAAGTTCTGAGTGGCTCCACAATCTAATAGCCCTTTGATCCTACGATGGTTGATCAGGGGCCGAAGCAGGATGAGATCAGACTTGTTCTGCTTTTGTTCTTTCAAATGAAAGAAAAAAGCAGCAAGAGCCTGACACTCAGACTGGTCCGGTTCCTGATCCGGGTTAGGATCCTCATATGTGAAGGATGTTGCCCGTGCAGCTCCCACTCCGGATGGGAAGGAAGAAGTCTCAACTGAAGCTGCTGCAGCTGCAGATGCAGTTGCAGGACTGGAGGGAACTGTTGTTTCCAGGTTCAGCTTCAGTTTTTTGACTGAGCTGGGCTTGGCATGTAGGGACAGTCCTTCAAAAAATGCTGCCTCTCACACCTCAAGCAGACCCCCTTTTCCTTCCTCTTCCTCCACACCCCTTCCTGTATCTTCAAATCATGCCAGGGAAGGGTGTTGGGGTTGAGGGGGTCTGCAGGAAAGCGGACGTCTCGTGGCAAATTAGGGCGCCGAGCAGGAGTAGAAGAGCGACGTCCCTGGCTCTTCGTCTGGGTTACTTTCCAATTGTGATCTTCGCAGTGTCAATTGTGATTGGTTGTTRGGAGTGTGTCAGGGAGAGAGAAAAACTGAGTGTATTCTCCCCTTATGTGCATAATTGCTATTCCGCTGCTTATCTATGATCTGTGTGCAGTTGGACCCTATCTCCTTCTCCCCTTTGTCTCATCCATGTATGGGCGTGTGTGAGTTCTTCTGAGTGAGAGTGACAATTAMAGTGTCAGACAACCAAGTTCATAACAGTTGGTATCGGAGCGGACTTTGGAATTGGAGCTCAGAGGGTTGAGCGCAACAGGGGCACCTTCTTCATCTGGCTTTAACTGGCGAGAAGATCCATGGTGGTTCTCCATCTCCAGTGACTATCCAGCAGGGAAGAAGGGATACAAGCGGTGATTGCAGGAACATCAGTTGCAGTTGATCGGGCACCCTGAGCCTGACTGTGTGCCTGACATGAAGTGGCGAGAATAGGGTTATTTCGCCATCCACCCTCTTGACCGCAGTTGACTACTGGGCCTAGGGTGGCGAAATTTACCCTAATCCAGTGATTACTGGGTGGCGGCTTCAATCCCAGCAGAGCGCTGAGGGAGGATTGATCGCAGGATCCCCTCCTGCTAAATTAACCCTACCCAGGGCTAAATTTAGCACCAGCGGCTCATACCCTACAGTGGCGAGATATCTTCAGGAGAGTTTTCTCTCGCCACTGGGGCAGATTCGGTGTATCCGAGAGTTGGGGGTGAATCGCCTCATCATACTGGAGCAGATCAACAAGTTTCAGGAGATTCTGTACGTGGGAAGCTCTGGAAGACTGTCTGCAAGTACTGGCGAGACCAGGGTTTGGCAGCCATAGCCAAAGCTTCATCACCCACTGAGGATTGTACTTCAAGTGAGTTCGTTCCACATGAGTCCCTGAGTAGCGATTAGTATAGAATTAGTGAAAATAGGATTGATGGTCTGTCTATTAGTACTGCAACAATCGTGAAATTGTCAGACTGCAGGACAACCATATCCATCTTCTTCCTCCCTACCCTGACTCATATCTCTTCATCTACTGACCTGTTCCGACTCCAAATTGTTCAGGGACTGCTTTACAGTATTGCGCTGCATCCTGTATGCTCATTCTGTGAATTCTGTACTGAAAAGACAGTGATACTGTGGATTTGAGTTTTGCGCTGAGCCTATTTATAGTCTAGGCTACCTAGGGTCAGTCACAACTTAAAATCTGACCGTCAGAATTCAAGTCTACCAGTCTGGGGTGAATCGCAATTCTATTTTTAGCAACCCTGCTAAAGCGCTAGTCCAGAAACACTGTATTTGGGTCATTACACTATATTCCTGAAATTCGCCATATCTGGGTAATTTCTGTTGATGTCAACACTGGCGAAATTTGAGTCTGGGGCACACACACATCTCTCTCTCTCTCTCTCTCTCTCTCTCTCTCTCTCTCTCTCTCTCTCTCTCTCTCTCTCTCTCACACACACACACACACACACA